TTGCTTAAGAGCCATACAGATTCCTCTACTTTCAAAGGATCCCAATATCAAGCACATCATACCAACAACCGTTTGTAGGAGACAAATAAATTAAGAATTGCATAATTGCAATAGCAGAAAAAACGTGTCCAGAAAAAGTATTAAAAACATATCAGTTAGTCAGCAAACATTGTGGTTCAAAGAGTAAATAACGGTACATAAAATATTTAAATTGAGCTCTTTGACAAAATTTAACACTTAAAATGGTTCTGCTTAATATCGGAATAATTCAACATTTGTTTCAAATACTGCTCTGGTGTAACTTATCATTCGAATGATTTATAAAAATAATGATTAAGCAGAGCTTCTTGAATAGTGGTGGAAGTTATTTTGATTTAAATAATCTTACGAATAGCCTAAATTTGCTAAATTACAAGGAAATAAGCAGCTTTTGTCCAATTTTTACATTCATATTGAGCCATTAAAAATTGTTTCAATCCCAATTCAACAAAAAATATTTCGCGTGTTTTAAAATATGCCGAATATTTAATCAGCAAACCGAGAACTCCCTTTCATGCAGATTTTGTTTCTGAAGCTTCATGGACTTTAAAAAAGTAAATTTTGAGTTTTATTTTCGGACTTTAATGCCATATATTTTAAACGACATCAAGGGTCTCTAAAATGCTTTTTTTCAAAATCCTTTTAACGGGTACGGAGAAATACTTTCTCCTGAACCTTTAATCTAAATGATTGATTTCCAATGGTAGCCATTCTTTTTTAATATTTAAGAGCATCGTTGCTGGAATTTTGAAATCTAAAGCTCACACAGTTGGATCAATTGTAGAAAAATTCCTTTGTGGTTTTTCTTCGCTTTTGAAACTACTTATCAAAATGAAAAGAAATAAGTTATCCAAAATGAAATGAAAAAAATACCAGGTGTCCGATATGTATGGTTACACTTTTAAGTATTAATTACAAACAAACTAGTAAAGATATTCCTTTACGGTTTTTATAATCTATAAAGAAAATACCAAAGTTTTTTTCTAATGTTTTTCTTTTACAAGATTTCAATACGCGCGCTAATATTTGAACGTAACTCATCCAGTCAATACGAGATTTCTAGCCATGTTCTATGTAAGATTGCAGGATCAACATTCGGAATGGCCAATGACATTCGACATTTCAATTCATTAAGGCCGTATCGCACGTATACGTATTTGAAGTATTTTTCCTTGAAAGCAACCATTCTAAGCAATTTTTACCTAGTTGCTATAGCAACGACTTCAAACAACTTTTTCCCAGTGAGCTGAAAGAATTTCTTGGAATAAAAATAGCTTGAAATTCAAGCCAATGAGGTTCTTTGGCTTCTTACGTCATTAACAAGATGGCGATAAAGATAGCAGCCTCGGTTTCGTCTAATGCATCAGAAATGATGTATAATATTTTAATTGCGTATAATATTTTAATTGTGTATAATATTTTAATCGTGTATAATATTTTAATCATGTATAATATTTTAATCGTGTAAAATATTTTAATCGTGTATAATATTTTAAGCAGAATCGCGATCCGTTTCTATTTACGACCATCAACAAGACGCGAGCGGAATAGATAAAAAAAAATATTGGATGTTCTTTTTACGAAGCAGACAAATTGGTAATTTGTGAATGCAAAGATAAGACGCGGCTGATGTCAGAGCGTATTGTTTTGTTTACGCGGGAACCCTTCATCCTCACATCTTGAAAAATCTCCCGAAATGGTTGTTCCAAATATACCTGTGTTATAAGGCTTTTAGTGTTACGAATTGGAGATTGGTAAACAACATCACTCACGTATTCCCACATAAAGTCTAAAGGCTAGATCTATGTAGCCATTTTGTTAAACCTCCTCTTCCCATCCATCGTAAAGGAAACTTTTAATCGAAATCCTTTCTCACGCTCTCAAATTCAAGTATATTGACGCCCCATTTACTTTACTGATGTGTTTGGGATTCAAATTGTATAACCCATTCTACATCTTAAGCTTGTTTCTGAAATGAGGCCATTTTGAAATGAGAATGTTGTAAAACGTGGACGTTGAACCCTCTGGTTTAAATTTTACTAAAGAAAACTTAAAGCTTTCCACAATGAAACGCACGCACGCGCACACGCACGCACAGTTAAGTTTTCATTCATTTTTGAAAGTATAATCACACTTTGTGGATACTAATATTTACTGATACTAATGAACGGACGAGTATTTCAGTTGCTGCACATAATTTCCGTTTGTAAACTTGATCTATGACGTCAAACAGTCATCAGTGGACATTTTGTAGCTACCTAAATGTCATTAATTTTAAATTAACACATTATTTTAATATTGTGAATTGTCTATAAATACAGCTAAGTGAAGGTTTTTAGGATAAGTCTCATATCATTAATTACAATTAAGATGTTTAATTTTATCATGTATGTCTATTTTGCTTTTAATTGGTTAATACGATTGAATTACTTTGTAATTCTTTTCAGTGTATTCAAAACAAACTGGTTGCGACTGCATTGGTGGTGCTCACAGGCTGTAATTTTGAGACCCCTGTTAGAGACGGTACTTTTCTAAATGTAAACATGAAAGAATTTTTAAAACACTGAATTTTCATTTTTTTTTATCATGGAAATATTCTTAAAATACACTTCATATGAGTGTGCTATTGTTCATACACATTCTTTTAAAGGACAGTATAATAAAGATTTCTTTATGGTGTTTTCTGTATTAGTAAACAGCAAACACATGGGATTAACTGAAACAAAAATGAACATGGAACTTACAATTTCCTTATAAGTTCAATTGAAAATAGCCTTGGAGAAACAATGGGAATCTTACATGTGCTTGTAGCCACCTCTCCTTGTACGAAGAGTAACACGATCTTCGCACAAACAAACAGCATTCAAATACGATTTTCGAATACGAATTCTTACTGTATAACTTTCTTTTTATACAGAGTTTGATATGCGTTGCCAGCGTCGTTCAATTTTGCTGAAATGCGAATCATTTGCAGATCCCAGCATTTTCTTCCTTCCATGCGAATTTGACGCTTGTACTGTCCTTCTTTCAAAGTGTTGCAAATTTAATGGATAGCAGTGTAGTTAAAGATATGAGATAAAAAATTTAGATTAGCCTTTTAATATTAATTATGTACATCCTCTGAATAGTCGTAATTTTTTTCTTTGCATATTTTATTTATCTTCGTCTTAGCAAATTATTTTCTTGGATAGAAATTCAATGCAGAAAAAACGAGATGTGGACGCAATTTGGCGTTATTTTTTTCTTCAATTATCCATAATTTTTGTCTTCATCTCTCTATTTTTTACCAGCATGCGAACGAAACTAAGATTTTGTGTAAATAATTTTTAAAGTTATCAAAAATTAGGACATAACCACAATTTGTATTTGTGTTTTTATTGCTGTTGTGTGTGTTTTCTAAACGAAATTTACACTCGAGATGCTTCTTTTTAATATGAAATATAGGAATTAAAACTATTTTAAAATATCTTTTTCACCTTGAATAAAAAGGAAATAAGCATGTTTGTAAAAAGTTGTTAAATTTCTTTCAATACAAATGTATTATCTCGATGGCAGGAATTCATCTCAATTGAAAGACTGCATACCAAAATTGATCACCAAAGATTTCACGAATTACCGCAGCATTTTCCTCCGTATGCAAAATATTGGTGACGTTCAACAAAACTACTAAAAAGAGAGGATTAAATATAAATATCTTTCTTTACAAACTCGTATGCTTCCTCAGAAGTTTAATAGAGTATAATTTTGTTATAGATCACTTATATACTATAAGACACAAACTATCATTGTACCATTATTTTAATTATGATGGATATTCAAAGGAAGCTTCAAGGAACCCTTCTTCCTAAGAAATTCCAAACATCTCTAGTAATTTTTTAAACGTTATTCAGATTCCAATATCACCCTAATTGGAATAAAATTTATATATACAGCTCTTTAAAAACTTCTCTTAATAATTCGACTCTATGTTATTGCATAATGAATCCCAAGGCTGGTAGTGACGCGTTAGTAAACGTGAAATTAAACCTCAATGCATAAAGTTCTTTTAATTATGGTTGTCTAATTAATTAATTAATTTACTTCGCATTACTTTCATTTGAGTGAACCCTTATTCGAACCGAGAAGGCTTCAGGTAAAACCTATCCAGATGAGAGAACAATTTAAACAAAACAAATTATAACAACAAAAATCGAAGACGGCAAAGAACTATTCAAAACATTTAATCCTCCTAGACACAGTTGGATGCCATCCATTCAACAGTTAATTAAATTTCAAAACGAGTAATGCTTAACGTGATTGTTTAAGAATCGATTTCGATTGACTTATTATTGAGAACAGAGAAAAAATGCGTTTGAATTTCGTGCACGACGATATTAATAAAGCATTTCATTTCTTCTTCTCATTATTTTTCATTATGTTCCACTTTTTATTTGTAGATAGTGCACTAATCCCTCTGTTGGAACTCATTTGGCGTGTTTTTTCAATCTTCTTTGCCAATGTATCGTATTGGGAAATTAGATATGTAGCGCGAGACTTGAGGAATTGAATTATATTATTTAGTACTTTTAAAGCTATTAATTAGAATATTTACAAGTAGATAAATGTTATTCAATGTGCCGAATGTTTTATTCTATATAAAATTTTGGTGATAGCAGAGAAAGAAAGTAAACACACATTTGAGCTCTGTCCTGCGGTGAGGTGGTCCCATTTTCAATTCCTACTATTAGTTCACACTCTCCCTATATATATATATTGTTCACAAATTTTCAATCGTTAATAAAATATTTTTTATTCATCCACTCAAGTACAAATACATTTTTTTAAACTAGTAGTGGATGACACTTGATGATAATAGTTTTTTCAAATATTAATTCCTTAATTCCATTTAATTAATGAATAAACAGTAACAAACAAAAACAATAGTCTAACACCATACATAAAAAAGGAAAATTGCTCGTTGTGTCCTTGTAGTGCAATGGATAGCGTGTTGGATTCTAATCAAAGTGGATTAGATTCCAATCGTGGATTGGAATCCCACCAGGGACGGCCTAATTTCTGAGAATGTGATTTCTATTTACTGTACTATTTTATTGGAATAATTAAATTTTATTTTTCAATGAATAGTAACAAACAAACAAAAATAATAGTCCGACACCAAATACGGAAAGAAAAATGGAAAATTGCAAGGAAAAAAAATCGCTTTCTATTTTGCTAGATAATATTGTGGTTTTGTCATATGTATATACATATTTATATTAATTGTAATTATTTAATAAAAATGAACTAAAAGAATTTTTATTTGTTGGCCTAAGTAGTAATTGACTTAATTTCTTTTTATATTACTCTTGTTACTTCTTGAATTCTAATCGAGATTCAGCTTCCAAGTGTAGTGTAGATGTTTTTGTTTCTGGCTTGGGTGGTCGGTGTGATTTTAAATGAAAGAATTCTGTTATATTTCAGAAGAGCACGTGATGATGTGGTCATAGTAATTTTACCTGTGTAGAATAACTGATCTTACAGCTGCGAGGAGGGAAAAAGTTACAGCAGGGGTTTTTCGAAGCTCATTTTAGGTTTTTAAATAAAACTCGTAACAAGTTAAAAATAAAATTATCTTGAATATTTTAGTAATAGCATATCTTTCACATCCTTATGTAGCATTATATTCCCGTTATATTGTTTTGTTCCATACCAAGCATGTATAAACTGCGGTGCCAGATTTCACACTTGGTGTAATTTTCTGTGGCACTCTATGCCACACCACAAAGTTACCCGTTTTTGAGTGAATGAAGGTTGATAATTTTGAAATGGGAAGATTTTGAACTAACATGTTCAGAATTATGGGAAGCAGAAATATTTAAGATATCTTTAACGATAAATCGACAGCTATTGGTTAAATAGTTGGATGTCTTTGCTGAAGATATTTTATTGTTTGAAGAAAATTACATGCACTGTGCTAACAGTTGTTGCTTTACATATCTGTGTGAACAAGTCTTTTCCCACATGAAGAATATTTTGAGTCTGCAAAGAAGTGGTAATAGCACGAGAAATATAGCTATTCTCTGCAAAAAAGTTGTCAAAAATTTTACCCAAAAAAAATGCGATATGAAGTAGAGCGGTGCAGGAACAAGGTTAGCATTAAAATATAAAATTTTAATTTATTGAATGATTCTTATATTTCATGTTGTTTATTTTTTAATTTTAATAAATATTTTTAAAAAAAAATATATATATATAATTTTTTTTTATTTACGTTGAATAAATAGCTACAATTTTCACATTTTTTGTGTTGTTTATGTTAAATATCTTTAAATAATGCATCATTAATGTATAGTAAAATTCTAAATCTGCATTCTTGAGCGAACTCTTTATGCACTGCTGCGGGAATCAAATTGCTTTGAATATTTTTCTTTTTTCGTGTGGTCCTAAATCATATTAGCAGATTGGTTTTGCACATCGCAACTACGAGGTTGCCGATTCCTGTTCGATACTATAGTTCAGGGGTCGACAACTTTTCTCAGTGGCACTGTGCATTATTTTACAAGTTTGTCAATTTTTAAGTGGATGGAAGTTGATAAATTTATAATAGACCTTACGGAGTTATAGAACTTATGGACATTTACGGAATTGCGAAAAAATCTTATATATAATTCTTAAAGATAAATTTAAAGCTACTTTGTAAATTGTTGAATGTCTTTGCTGAAGAGATTAAATTGCTTCAAGAGAGAAAATTGCACGCATTCTGATTTCCACTTTTGGTTCTACCTATCAAAGTAAAAACAATCTTTCCTCATATTAAAAGTATTTCGAGACCACAAGGAAATTGTTTAACAACTGTAGTGCCCCAGTCCTATCTTGGACTGGGTTCACATTGCCCGACGCGCCTGGTGTAGAAGGAAACATATCATCACCAACAAAAGCCATAACAATTAAATTATTTTTTGAAGACAGACAAACACAATTAACAAGCACAAGTTCAATCTATAAGTGGAAACCTTGGAGTGATTTTCTAATATCTAGATTAATCCTGATACTCAACCCTAATACTCAAATCTAACATTCAAATCTAATATTCCCGTCTAAGTAATCTCAGCTATCAGAATTGACAAGGAGACGAACTCTTGCTAACCTCAGGTCGGTACTTAATTTGATTCCTTTAATGATTAATCTAATACTTTTCTATAATATTATCAAATACGCGCAAAGCTCGTTGTAGTGATCCGTAGACGATACTTACATTTAGTTTGGCAATTCCTTCTCTCTCTCTCACTTCTAACATTTACGAAATCTAGACTTTATATAGTCGAATTAATTAGCATATAACTATCTCGTGTTTTTCCCGAAGAGGCTGTGAAATAGAATAAATGCTGGCCCCAAAGTTACCCGAGAGGATTAGTTTGGAAATTAGCGCGGTTAGACTCGTCACACAACTGAATGCTCATAATTCTCAAATAGAATCACTAATTACACCCCTGATTTTACGATATGAAAGAAGCACGGCACAGCATTAGGTTCGCATTAAAATTTTTATTTTTTTTTATTTAACTATAATGAAAAGAGAAATACTTATATTATATGTTGTATAATGTCTTATTTAAAAATGTATAATACATGCACAATTTTAATTTTTAAATTTTTGTTGAAGAAATAGTTAAATTTAATGCCTAGTGGTTAGAGCTTTGGACTCCAGACCGGAAGGCCTGGGTTTGATGCCCAATGCCAGAAAAACCCCATCGAGTATAAACGGAGAACGTGCTCGTTAAATCAGTGGGTCCGAATGGTGTCGCCATCTATCGTGTTGTTCCGAGCAAAATCGCACTGTCACCTTCTAGGGGGCTCAATCTAACGACAGGCGTAAAATTCTAGCCCTTAGCCGCAATGAATTTCGTGGACCTTGATCTGATGTTACTGTCGATCAGGTGGCATAAGCAACAACAACACATTTAATGCTGTTTGCTTTTATATTAAGAAATATCTTTAAATGATGCAAAATTAATGACCTCTATTCTCTAACTCTACCTGCATTATCGTGGGAATCAAATTGTTTCAAAAATGTCCTACTGTGTGGCACGCTGAATCCTATTGGTAGATGGGTTTGACACTCCACAGCTAAAAAGTTGCCGATTCCCGCTATAGTTAGTTCTCATACAGTTTCTATAAAAATCTTTACATGATGGAACTAAAATTAAAAAAATTTTTTTTTGCTATTATGTTCAATTGTTTCTGTAACTGTAATTCGTAGAAAAAGGAAAAGTTACAAAAAGTTATTCGAAAAGATTTTCAATGTTATTCTGCACAAACCTCTATAATTTTTTGTTCTTTTGATTACATTTTTTATTGGATTCAAATGGATGGATTAGTCTAGGTTTATGGATAAATGTAAATATTTTATAAGATTATAATTGCATTCACGAACTCAAAATGGCAGTAACTGGCAAATAAATAGAATATTACGAGCTTAGTCTGTGACTTCAGAATAAATGGAGATGACTCTTTTTTAGACGTAACCACGCATTTACTAACTGTTTGGCTACAAAACCATTATCTTGGCACTATTGATATTCCGGTCAGGCACTAAGATATTGCACTGGACTTAGGTATGAAATAAACATGTATCTATTTTACCCGGCTGGTATAAAATGAGATTTGACCTGTTTGAAAACGAAAGAGAATTTTTATACACAGACGTAAAAGATTTTTTTATGTTGGTAATCTATAAATGGGATTTTATGTTGGATCTTGATTAAATGGATGCCGTCTATTTTTATACTTATTTACGAGAAAATTATCTTGTTTTCTTACTGGCCGTGTTACGGAAACTTTGAAGCTCCGGTTCAAAGATGTTAGATGAAAACCACACCATGGCAGGCCTAAAAAACAGTTTATTTATTGCACCTAGAAAGCCGCACTAATTTTTAAAAAAATTACGAACGAACGTTTTAAAGTTCTTATTTTAATATTAGAAGAATATTTAAAATAAAAGTTATTTACTTAGAGAGGTCTGTGAATTAATTTGGAGGAATTGTTTTTTTGGTAAATTTAAGGCTTTATTGTGAAAAAATTATGTACATAAATATTTTTCGAAGTATTGTCCATAGCTAGCCACCTACTTTTCCCGTCTTTTTAAATCTGATCTGAGACCTTATTTCACATTTAAAATCATTGTTTCTGAAATTTAACTCTCGTAACAGCCGCGATGGTTGTTCGTGATAATCCTCTATATGAATTAATGTAACTACCAATATTCTCACGAATGTTTTTAAGAAGATAATTACACTGCTGTCCACCGTAAATGAAACACCAAAAAATACAAGAGATAGCACATCAAAATTTATTTTGTAGATAACATGCTGACCAAGTATCAAATGATTAAATTTATAGACTTCTGTGAAGTGTGGTTCCTGCCAGAATCAGTAGCCAGAGTAGCCGCCACTGTTGGAGATCACCGCTGCCACAAGCCTCGGCATTGATTGAAAGAGACTTTGGATGTGTTCTTGGGGTACAGCAGACCAGGCAGATTCCACACGTTGCCAAAGTTGATCCGGTGTAGCGGCTGGGGGTGTAATCTGGGTCAATCGTTGAGCAACCATGGACATGTTTTCTATCAGCGAAAGATCCGGAGAGCGAGCCGGCCAGGGAAGCAATTCAATCTGATGATTGACGAAGAACCTTTGGACAATGCGGGCCATGTGTGGTCGCGCATTATCCTCTTGAAATATGGCTGTGGCCAAGCCCTGAAGGTAAGGAAGGACAACTGGCTCCAACACCTCGGAGATGTAGCGCTGGCTGTTTAAAGTACCGGCAATGCGTACTAGAGGAGTGCGAGAGTGATATGCAATACCACACCCCATACCATAATACCCGGTGCAGGACCAGTGTGGCGGTGCATAACGCAACTGTTCAGCATCCTCTCTCCACAGTGTCTCCAGACTCGAATCCGACCATCGTGGAGTTGCAGACAGATCCATGACTCGTCAGTAAAGACAACTTCATTCCATTCTGCCACCCACATCCTTCTTTCATCGCTCCATTGGCAGCGGAGACATCTG